GTATATAGCTTGTACATCCTTAACGAGTGGAGTTAGTGTAGAGCCTTTCTTGTATCTGGCAACTGTTCAGTACCAACAAGTGTTTTAATTTCTATTTTTTATTTCGATGGGAATATATGACTTTTTCGTGCGACACAAAGTAGGTGTTCGAATTTCCGCGGGGCGAATTCGCCAGCAGATGACGGTGCGGTCGTTCTCGAGTAACCTGGTAGTTGCGATGTCATCTGACGTCGAGCGTTCAGTTCGTGACTCTTATCGGGACGAGCTGGTCTCCGTCAGTTTGCCCTGTGTGCCCGGACGGGGCGGATGTGAGACGTTTGGTTCGCGTTGCCGCGATTTACGCGTTGTCCATCTACGTCAACCGCTGAAACCCATTAAATAACAGTGCCGCTTGTCTCCGATCACGCTTCCGAACTCGACGCCGGCATCATCCGCGGCCGTTCCGCGAAGAGAAAATCGGCTTTTACCCCACAACGAGATCACTGCTCGCGACAACGGAGCAACGCGACGCCCCTCGATGACGCGATGATCCCCACGAAAGTGTTTTATCTTCTTTATAATACGTCGTGTGTGAATCATCGACCGATTCGTATCGATTTATCGTTGATGAGTGGCCACAGTGTTAAGTAATTAGTGCTCGGGAAAGGCGAGACGAGGAGAGCGAGTAGCGGTAGAAGAGTAAAGAGCCGAAGAAAAAGAAGGAGAAAGTTTATTTGCTGGCTACGAGAGAGAGAGAGAGAGAGAAAGAGTCATGGGTGCTGTGGTGGAGCTTAGTGACGACTGCCCGCACGAGAGTAAGCGAGACAGCAAACCAGTTTCGATGTTTACGAGAGAAAAAATCCTCGCCACATCCTCCACGGTAAGTTTATTCAATTTATATACGCACACGCGTGTGTGTCGTAAGTACTTGGAACGTTCGTTTCACGCGAGTCGAAAGTGTGTGCACGAAACGGAATGCGGGTCCAAAAACGAATTAATGAGTCTCTGGGTATCGGACAATTTTTAAACCGCTCTTATGTACCACGATTAACACTGTCTGCTTTTTCAACGAATCGTTCATTTAACAGATTAAGTTCTATTTGAAGGCGGCATTAAATATGAATAGTTCTTTAATCAGACTATTCGATTAGATTTTATGTTTTATTCAAGAACGAAGATCAATTTGAATAATTCTTTAATGAGACGGTTTATGATTAGATTTTCTACTTCGTGCGAAGATTAATATTTTGGTCTAATATTATACTTGCACGACAGACCATTTCATCCTGAATTTTAATGATACTACGGAAGATAATTGTTGGGAGAAGTCGCGTGAGACAGCATCAGTTTATATTAACATACTAGGAATTTTGCGGTGTAATCGCATGTACGAAAGTCAATTAATCTTTTATAACATAAAAAATGTATAATGCCGCAATGTATGCAGGTACGTTTGCGCCACGTACGGGAAGAGCTCTGCCCTATCGTAGATACACATATGCACTGTTCTACTCGATTGTGCTACTTTGCAAGAGAAATATAGCGCAGTTTTAGTTCTTTCCTCGCGTATTTCGAACCGCACTACGTTCCTTGATCTTAGAAGGTCGAGGATGGTATCTTAGCCGGAGGCGAAGAGAGAGAACGATACGCGGCCGGGTCGTGGAGCGACGGAGAATCTATAAAAGAGAGCAGAAGGAGGAAATAGAGGAAGAAGAAGGAGAGATAAAGAGAGCTATTGTGGTTCCCGGTCCTTTTTCTTTCTCTGAATTCTCTGCTTCTTCTTCTTCTTCTTCTTTGTCTTCTTCTTCTTTCTCTTCTCAGCTCCTCTTCTGTCTTTATTTAGCCAGTAAGCGTGTTTCTTCTCCTCGCCAATGAATATACATACATTCTTGATTCATGATCTTCTTCCTGCGCGTTCTCCTCTACTTGGAGTTTTAACATAATTCCAAAGTTAAGACAGCGCTCGGTATCTAATTGGAAAATAGTGTCGCCTGATTTATCAGATGCGCGTTACAACTGTTATTATCTGAGGAACGAGCCGAGTTAATTACCGGTCGCGGTAGCAACAGACTTAAACTTACGTGTACGGATAGCTATTATCGAATCGCGTAATTCAACGAGGCGGGGGTGTCGATAACACGTTGACGAGGCAATTAATATTGATGTAATTAGCGGAGGTGGTGGTAGCGGCGTACTGTTACCCGAAGGAACAGTGTGTTAATTAATATTTAATTCGCTCGCGAAACGCGACTCCCGGAACATTTTTGACGATCAAAACTCGCAGACGCTCCTCTGGTCCTACATAGCGTAGAATTATTCAACGATTTCGCGTTTCCCCGTCGACGTTAATAAACTTTCCTCGCGGGGACGCGATAATTATTATGCAACGTCGAGAAACAACCCCTGTCTCTACTCTCTCTCTCTCTCTCTCTCTCTCTCTCGTTCTCTGCACTTCTTCGTCTCTTTGTCTTTCTCCGTTTTATAATCTTGGGAAGAGATACGAAAATATAATTGCGAGCTAGGAATAACTCCGAAAGATGCTTTGCATACCTCATCGCAATCTTGAAACGTCGTAATCTGTTTCTTACGACTCGTGTACCTACCGCGTTTCTCGCTTTTGACAAATCCGCTGGTACTTTTTAACTGGAATCGTTAAACTTTATTAGATTTATAAAACAATTATTTATGTAGTCACAGCGATGCTAGTGTATTCCGCGATGTCAACGAGAGAGAGAGAGAGAGAGAGAAAAGTGTAATAATGTAGCAAAAATTTGATGTACGATAGGCAAGTAACAACGTAATGCAAGTACTCTCAACATTTGCATAATTAACCACGAATAGACCGGCATAGATAATAGCGCATATGCATATAGCGTCTAACAGATTTATTCACGTATGTAGATACGTACATACATACGTAACTTTACATTTAACAACGGTGGTTGTATTTTATTTCTAGATAAATTTATGATACAGCTCGTCCTTTTTGCATATGTAATTTATGCGCGAAAGCATCGGAGAAGAGAAAAAAATAGCAGATAAAATTGTAACAAATGTTCGCGCAAAAGAGAAACAGAACGAATGTTTACTGGCTGATATTTTATATAACGTTCATAGTCTCAGGGTCAAAGTATAATGCGACGCGTAGGATTGTTGGTTGACCGTCCATTCTAGGAATCTGTTCGTTGCGAGGCAGATGAGAATTGCAAACCAAATTGTCGCAAGGCTTCTCGTTTATTTCTACGCGTTTGCGCTTCGGCGAATTGAAATTCGTTCTCGGCTCTGTGTATCAATGCCGATGCTATTGGAATACATTAGATTAACATCGAATTTCATTAAATTACCAGCTGAATCTGATTGGATTAACACGTCGACTCTATCCTGTTCGAGTTAAGCAGTTGAGAATTAACGGCAGGGTGCAAACGCGCAAAACTTAACTTATTAATCTCCATTACCCATTCGTTATGAACGTTTCCATTCTAAGTTGGTTACAAAAGAGACGCACAATAACGCCACGTGCGGTCTTAAAACGCGAGGCAGAAAGCTTCCAGGCGACATATGCGGACGCAGCCCCTCCCGAGTAAAGTAAGGGAAGCTAGGGGTGCGTTAACGCGTAACGAGATAATGCGGCATCATTTCGTTCCATTACGTTTCTATTTACCCCCGAGGTTACCCTGGAATTTTTTTTCTTCTCTCTCTCTCTCGAGAAGAAAGCGTTAAGTGGATTATCGCCGGGTTGCCGGAGGGAAATTAGCCGCGAGTTAAACTAATTCACGACCGAACGCGAGTCTCGAGACGCAGCGCTGATAAGAAGACTCGACCTGTCGTCCCGACGATGAAAATTCCGATTGGTCGATTGACACGCGAGATGGAATCGTTTCGTTTTACGAATTTCCGTTCCCACCGTTCATTTGCATTTCTCGTCAACCGGTGCCGGCGGACGGTGCGAGTTAGCTAAGAAAATCGCCAAGTAGGGAATATTTTCCGTGTAGCCGACTAACGTGAAACCGCTAACTCGAGATAGTCCGACTGGCTGGCTACCTACGTGCCCAAGTATTCGCCGAGGACAAGCTAGATAGACCGGTACTACCGCTTTTTATTTCCTTCCCTCCTTCTGTTCTCTTTCTATTCCGCATACACGAGCACCGTGCACGTTCACTCCGCGCTGCACTATACTCCTCGTGTATAGAAAGGCTCCACCATTCTTTCTTTCGCCTACCTCGTCTCTTTTTCAAAGCCTCGCAGCTCTGGACTCTGTGCATCGGTTCGTTTCGCGAGTCCTCGCTCGGCACTTTTGTGTATCGCAAATTCGATGAAAAAACGTGTGTTACCATATCGGACGGTTTTAAAACGATACGTTTTATTGGTATTATCATATTCTCCGTGGGCCGAGATTTTGTTCCCTCGCCAACGCTCGCCGTACTTTCGGGTTGCGATATTAAATACTCGTCGACTAGTCGTATAACGTGAAAAATGTTGCTCAGTTAATATTTCATGAAACTGTTTGATGAATTTCCAACTGGAAAATCTTGCTTGCGATTCGCCGGATCAAAAAGTTACGCTAACTCTTTTATGAAAGTATAACAGAAGACGCGAAACTGGGTCTCGTTTGAAAAAATCCTTTGACTTACCGATAAAAGGATCGACGGATCCATATAACCGGGGAAAATGAAAGAAAAATTGCATTCTTCGCGCTATTATTCACTGGAAAAATCCCCCCTCCCGTCAATTTCAACTATCCCGAGTAAACTATAACGAAGTTTAAATCGCGTAAGAACTTGTCAAACTGTTTAATAGCCAACTCGGTAGCTAAAGTCGAATTCTGGTAGGTAACTTCTCGAGGAATTTATGTTTCTTACGTTTTCTCGCCCTCCCCGCCGCTCCGCCTTCCACGGCTCGCACGGTTTTACTTCTACAAAACTTTTTCGCTAATGGGAAAATCGATATTGAACGCTTCGATCATTTATTTTTGAATACCGTCAATCGTCTCTGTAATCGAGTAAACGTGCTACAAGCTGTAAAAGGAAATTAACACTAGAAAGACTGAAACTTAGTACATACCTATATTGCCGAAAAGCAGTCAAAATGACTGCAT